GGACCTTGCGCTTACGCGGCAGGCACAGGTGGCAGGCACGGTGCCACTGGGCTAAATCCTGGCCCCTGTCTGCGATTTTACTCAGAGGCACTATCCCATCCCCCAACAAATCCAAACCTTTGCTCAACCCTGCGCTGGTCAGACTCCTTTCACACCAAACTCCTGCCTCATCCAGTGCTACTTCCACCCTCCCCGCCCCAAATTGGCTTTTTTGTCTGAACTATACCAGCACTGTTCTTGGTAGGCACCGAATCTCTAGGCTGTTGAAGCCCGTTATCTATTCCCCACCTCTGTACCTGATCTCTCCACAGCTCTCCACTAGGCAGCCATGCCAGTCCTGAAATGTTCACTTCTTTCAGCTTGGAAGATCACATTCCCTGTAGCAGCTGCTTCTCCTAGATCTCCTTTCCAGTGCCTCCTTGCTGCAGGGTGGTCTGGCTGCACCTCTTCTCCTTCCCCTCTGCACAATGTCCTCCAGCAAACCCTGGCCGCCACTGCGACTGGAACGCCACATGCAGGCTACGGGTCCCAGAGCTGTTTCTACATCAGCATCAGTGGCCAACAGTCTCTGCCCCAGCATCTCTGCTCCTCTGTTCAGTCTTCCCTTCTTTTCAGTTCACACTCCAGTCCTTACTTCTCTGGAAAATAAAAAACTTCCCAAGGACTCCACATCCACACCAAGCTATCTCTTTTCAGGCTTCCTAAAACACTCAAACAGTCTGCAAGGCAGGATTTACTATTTAATTACAGACATTCTTTAATTGCTCCCTAAATGTCTGCCTCCTACTGTGCAAATCCTTTCTCCCAAGGAGGCTTCAGTTTCTGAATAATGAAGCATTCCTTTTCCTCTACCTGGTACTGGGCCACACTGGAGATTTCCAAATAAGTGTCAGTTCTCTGATAGCAAACAAACATTAACTTTTATAAAGAAAAGCCAAAACTCATACATTATTTTAATTTGTCAGTCTGGGAAAAATCTGGATTTCATCCCTAAATTTCTTGATGAACCACAAATAATTTTTATTTGTCTCGAATTACCAAGTAGCATCATGAGGAAGACACAGGGTCACACCCTTAAAACTTTCTGGCAATGGAATCCTTAAAATTGTTAAAACAAAATATTGAGAAACATCTTATGCAAAACATAGTAATATGGCAAATAATTTATATTACCTACACAAACATTAAATTTGGGCGATTTCTGTTCAATTTGTATCCTGAATTAATAAATCAATTTACTCTTTCAGTGTAAGTCTACATAAGAGATGGGTGTGTTGAAGCCAAGGATTTCTGTCAGATTACGCCTGGTAACTCCAGCTATAGAAACAAGTGTTGTTCATTAGGACAGTTGAAAGGTCTGAACTTCAGGCTACAATTAAAATGGGTTCATCAACCAAAGAGAAACCACCTTATTTTTCATTGGTTTTTTAAAAAGCTGTCCTTGCCATACTCGAAATCCCCATCAATTACCCTCCCTCTCTGTTGCCACATCACCACTCATTAAAAACTCTTGGTCACACCTAAGGGATAAAAACACACCAGGGCGCCTGCTCATCCTAAACTGCACCCTACAGCCTCTACTCTGGCCCTCTGGGCTCTGGACACTGGCCCTTGCCAGTGTAGCGACCCCAAGGGTGGGACATTCCAACTCCCTTCAGTTCCTCTCCAGGTCCTCTGTGCCCTTCAGTTACCTTCCTCCTTTAGCCAGCATTGGCTCAGTTTCACCAACTGTGCTCCAAAAAGGCCTTCATTGCCCTCCTCAGGGTTCATTTTGCTCCACGTGTAAGCCAGGGATACAGCATTTACCATACTCTTCTGGTACTTTATGGATTTTCTTCCCCAAATATCTACAAGTTCATAAATAAGAAAGATCATAGTTTTTTGTAGCTCCAGTGCTAGGAAGGAACCTAGGGCATCGAACACGCAAAGCAAACTACCACTGAGCTACACCCTCTGGCTGATATTGTTATTTCTGTTCTGTAGAGTGGCATAGTGACTCCCAACAAAGATGGTCCAGCCCATTTAACCTTTCCATGTGACTTTAGCTGTAAATAGGGTCTATAAGTAAAAGAGCTTGAGATGAAATCACTTGACACTTAGAGTGGACCTTAAATCCAATGACTGCTGTCCTTAAAAGACAATGTCACAAAAGACAGGAAAGTAGGCTACAGGAGCCAAGTGTGGTGGCAAACACCTGTAATCCCACTACTCAGGAGGCTGAGACAGGAGGATACCAAGTCGGAGCCTAGCCTGGGCAACTTAGCAAGTTTGTGTCTCAAAATAAAAAAAAATTAAAAAGAACTGGGAATGTTTGAAAGCCCTATATTCAATCTGAAAGAAGAAAAAGTAAGAAAAAAGGAGGCCATGTGAAGATAACACACAGAATCAGCAGTCAAGATTTACCACAAATCCTAGGAACAGGGAAAGCTGAAAGAAGCAAGGAAGATTCTCCCACTAAAAGTTTCAAAGGCAGCAGGGCCTGGCTAGCACCTTCATTTCAGGCTCCAGACTCCACAACTGTGGGAGAATAAAACTGTTTCAAGCCACCAAGTTTGTTGTAATTTGCAGCAGTCCAAACTTTAACATGCTACTTTCCACCAAGAAGTTGCTCAATTATAACTATGTTGAACTAGCAAAGATTCCACTAGGGGGAAAGATGTGAAAGTGTCTGAACTGCTGGTCAAGCATCCGGGACCAGGGAGGACCCAGCCATCAAATTACTATGGAAATTTGGACATGTCACTTACAGGTAGAGACTCTGATTTCTTATCGAGTAAAGTGAAGGAACTGGCCCACAAAACTGTAACCAGGCCTGAAATACCTTGAATGGACTCCATCCAAACCATCAGCTTTAATTAGGCCTTAAATAAATTACTTCTTTCCACTCACTATCCAAATTTTATTAATTTTATTTTCATCTAAAGAGCTTTTAGGTGCAAAAAAAAAAAAAAACTAAAATAAAATGACATTTCAAAGGCATTTACATTTTAATCAGCTTATGCAAAATTCACTGAAATAATTTCACTGATAATATGTCAAAAAAGTGATTTTCAACAATACTGCCTCTTTGTCTTCTGCAAAGCAAAATCAACAATTTACAAGTAGCTGACCAAATCCAGCTGGAATTGTTGACATTTCACAAAAACTGGACTCTAACATGAATCCAGTGAAGCGCCATTTGCTGACCCATAACCTAAATGTTTATAAAGCCACTGCATGATGACTAATTCTTGCAGCAGCATAACAAGGGTCTTCTCCAAGTCTGGGGTTTGCTCCACTAGACTTAGACTGTAATTAAAGTCCCATACCCCGAATTTCCACTTCAAAGCATCTGGCCAGGAAATAAGTAACAACTGCTGCCACCACCAAAGGGTAAGGGAGTCCAAAAACAAAACAAGAAAGGTACTGAACTTCATCCCTCCATAAACAATAAGCAGATTTTCTGTTAAATATTGTCTAATGCAAAAAAATGAAGATTTAAAGGTGTAAATAATATGCCCACTCATCTTACCCTTAAAGACAGCTGCTGAATTTGCGATTAATTTTTGAATATTTTTTTCCAATTTTGTTTTCATAGACAATCCTGTGCCTTTTGCTTTTATACTGGCAGCCTCCTCGATTCTTTTTTAGGAAACCAATCAAAGAACACAGAGGAACACGGAGCTGAGACAGTCGGACAAAATATCCATTAGAAACACTTAGGCTTGAAACTTTTTCCAAAAAAACCAACGGTTCAGAAAACTAAATCTAAAGTCACTGGGACCGACTGTTCTGCTAGAATTGGCTGAAGGATGCTAGCAAACCTCAACAGCGAGTTCTGGCACAAAGTGTTACCAAACTTTTCCTTTCCAGGTGGAAACTCAATCCGAAAAAATCAGAAGTCCCTTAAACTGGAAGGCTCACTGCTCAAGCCCGGCTTTCAAGTCCAAAGTTCTCTGCTTTTCAAAGTGAATCTGGCAGGCAGGGAAACAGGATTGAGAGGTGGGAGCGCAACTTTATCTCGCAGGTCCCATCTTAAAACTATCCATGAAACTAACGTAGCAAAAGCCTTGGGGACAATGTCCAAGCTTGGGGACACACAGGGCGTTCAAAGCGCTCCTGTTCTGCACTTCCGGCCATCCAAGTGTAACTTAATTTGCACAGAAGCAGGACCGCCACTAGCACCCAGAGCACAGTGTTTCTCGGAAGCGGAATCCGGGATGAATGAGCTTTAACTCCCACGACGTGCCGCCTCACGTGGCACCGCGCAGCCCCAGGAGCTCAGCGCCGGGGAGTCGGAAAACTTTACTTTGCAAACTAGCGGAGCCGAGAGTCGGATTCGCCCGCCGGCCCCGAGCTGCACCTCCGCCGAGCGCCCCGCGGGCTCGGCCCGGCACCCGGCACCCAGCACCCCGCCCCGTCCCGGCCCAACTCGGTCCACACAAAGGCGCGCGGGTGCCGCCGGAGCCCCCCGGGGAGACCAGGAGGGGCGGGCGGGGCCGCGCGCCGGCTACTCACAGGGTGATCGTGCGGTTGGGCAGCGTGTCCGGCGGCAGGACCTGCGCGAGCTCCAGGCTGCTGCACACCACCTTGCCCTCGGCGGGCGCCTCCGCCCTGCCGCTCCCTCGGGGCCGCCCGTCTTGCTTGCAGCCCGGGGGCAGCGCTGCGACCCCGTCGCCGCCGCCGCCTCCTCCTCCTCCTCCCAGCATGGCGAGCAGCGCGAGCCGCAGAAGGAGCGGTGGTGGCGGAGCGCGGCCCCGGGGGCGCCCGGACGGCTCCATGCTGCGGGCCGGGCCTGCGGGCCGTGCAGAGCGAGAATTCCTAGCGGGCGTGCGCGCGTGGCTTCCATGAGGCCGCGGGGCCGGCGCTCCTCGGCGCCGACATGCTCCTTTGTCCGTGGCCGCCGCGCTCGGCCTCGGGGAGCCGCGGGGTCACGGCCGCCGGGTCCCAGCGCCGCTGCACAGCCCGCGGGAGGACCGCCTCCTCGCCCCGCCCCCCTCCCGCCCGGCCACGCCCCCGCTCGCTCGCCGCCCCTCGGTTCGGTTCGGCTGAATTCCCTCCAACCACCCTCGCGGGAAAAGTTCCAGAAACCAAGTCCTCCACCTCGCCAAGGTAATCTCATTTGTCCCAGGGCCAGGTCACAGGTTCCACTCTAGTTACGTGAACTCTGACGCGCTTCTGACCTTCAGCTACAACAGCTTTGGGTCCTGCAAAGGGTCCTGGCTGTAATGGCAGCGCTTAGGAAAAAGGTTCTCTCAGGGTCCAGAGATACCAAAGAGGTTAACAAAGCTGGAGTCATCCTTGGCAAAGCGACCAGGAGTAACCAACTGAATCTATTGCTCTAAGACCGCAGCCCCAGGCGTCACATCTGCAAGCCCAGGGTTCACCTACCCTGTGTTTAAATTGTGCAAGGAATACGCCAAGCTAACAAAATGAGTTTTGTTCTGTCTTGGGAAGTAGACTTTCGTACCCTGGAAGGCCAGTTGGCCTGCAGAATTCTCAAATACCGTGGCGTTCCACCCTAAATCGTAGCAGGTAGGAGTTAGTTCTTGGCCATACCAACCCACACCCCTCAGTACCCGGGCCAGCTCTGTTCAAGCACACACAGCTTTCAGCTTTCTGCTCATGTGCTTGGCTAACCCGGCCCAATCATCCCAGCTCCATCCACACCTTAGAACTGCCCTCTGCCTGCCTCTGCCCAGGAGAGCCCAGCATGGTTGTGTGGTTTTCCATGGAGAGGATTCTGGGAGGAGGCCTGTTGAGGAACTGGGATGTGACCTTGGGATTTTTAGTCAGAATTCTAGGGTCCTGGATCCCATGGACTTAGTCTAGAGAAAGAAGAGCACACAGGCTGTGGGCGCTGCCCAGGGAGATTTTTCACTCTATGGAAAGGAAAGTCAGGTTGGTGTCTTCTAAAATATAGAGCCCAGAGCAGTGTTTTCTTGCCTAGGTCTAAGCACAGTACTGTCTCCAAAGGCCCCCAGGAAGTTTATTTCAGAAACCAATCCCTAGACTCCATTTGTCTAGCTAGAAATTTCTCAATCATCAGTAAATGGCCTCCATTTACCACACACTACTCCGTTAAGGTTGAGTGACAATACTTTTAAATAATGCTTTTTGTGATTCAACTATACAAACCCACCAGTGTCCAGGACTGTCTACTGTGATAATGTCTATTTGGTGATGATAAAAGTGTTCTAGATCTCTGCTGTCCAATATAATGGCTTCATGTGGGTGTGCAGCACTTGAAATGTACCTAGTATGCGGTAAGAAATGAGTTTTTTTCTTTTTATTTAATCTTGTAAATCCCTAGGGGCTACCATGTTGGTGTTGAGCAGCCTAGGTCTGTCACACTTACAATAGGTTGAAAAACAGGGACATTATCACCGATATTAAGTACCTTTAAATGTCTAAATAACCGTAAAAGGAAAATTGGTGCCTCTATGTTAAGGTAGGTGGAATTGCCCATATTTATCTTGAATTTATGTGAAGAACTCTTATTCCTCAACAAAATTACCATCATTAACATCATCATTGGGTGTTTTTTTAATAAAGATAAAAGAGTACCAATATGAAAGTTCTTAATAACTTTTACTCTTGATATAGACACAGATTGGCATGTGAACTTGAGAGTATGTGAATATAGCTGCGTGTGGTGTCACGTACCTGTAATCTCTGCACTCTGGAGGCAAAGGCAGGAGGACTACAGGTTTGACCCCATGTGGGCAACTGAGCAAGACCTTGTCTCAGAAGAGGGTTAGGGATATGCTTTGTTCCAAGGCTCTGAGTTCAGTCCCCAGTACCCCCCCACACACACAAAGTATGTGAATATTTTGAAGCCTGTTGAAGTAAATGTGCTTGTCTATTTTGAAATGTATTTATAGATACTCACATTAATTCTTTTCTGCTTTACCGTATAGAAAGTTATGTGAGGTACAGAATGTTCAAAAAGAGAAAGAGAGATGACAGGGGATACCATGAATCCAGTGATAACTATGGAGAAAATGTTTTTATTATACAGATAATTTCAGTCACTTTTGCACAGAAATCACTCAGATCATCTTACAAGATTACGTATCTGAAACTTATGCTGTTCTGTCCTTCAGTCACACCAGAATCTAAGTTTGAGTTAAGCTACTCCAGCTCTGAGAGCTTCTTGACAGACAGGTCTGTCTACTGCTCCCTCAGGCTTTAAGAACATCACACCATTTGAAGTTTTAGGACTTCATAGGTCCTTTCAGAGTTCCCACTGTGTTTGTAATTGTTCCACTTTAGAAGGTCCTGTAGAAACTAAGAAACCACTTGTTAACCATACCCACATACACATAGTCCAGTAAAACTGTATTGCATCAACTGTTGCTTAAGGGTGGTAGATGGACCACATTCCAAAGCTTCTATGCTGCGAATCCTGTCTTGCTATGTTATGCAAGACTTGTAGGAGAGACCAGAGAAGCTCTCAAAGATGCTTTGTTTTTCTCCTTAATAAACTATTAACCATATAATTTAAGCATGTACATATATAATAAACATGTATATGTTAAATATGTATTTATGTATAATGAATATGTTTGCATTCATTTTTGTTAACAATTTCATTTATATGCCTGTTTTCCCTCTCTACCAGACTGTAGGATTCTGGAAGCTTTTGAAATCATTTCTTCCCACTTTCTATCATCCTCTTTTATATTTGTTACTCTAGAAACTTCTAGACTGATTATCTAGACTGAGTTAGATAATCTTGATGTCTTGTCCAAACTTCAACACAACTTCCTTTTTTATTTATCTGTCTACATATTACATTGTTGCCTGCCCCGCTACAGTGTCAGCTCCATGATGCCCTATCTTATTTAATTTTAATGGCACACACTGTCGGTTGCTGCTAAAGAGCCATTCCCAAATTTTCCTCCTTTAGAGGAATCATTTTCCCAACCTCTTTTGCAGCTATTATGGCCTACATCTTTCTAGCCAAAAATAATCAAAGGATGTGCTGTCTAATATGGTAGATACCACATACGGGTATATAGATTTAAATTCAAATTAATTATAATTAAAACAAAAAAATCCCATTTGTTTCATCATGCTAGTCCTAAAGTGGATATCATTTTAGACAGCACAGACTTGTGAATAGAACATCACAATAACTTTTATGTGTATGTATTAAAAAGAGATTAGTAGGGCTGGGGATTTAGCTTAGTGGTTCCGCTACCTGCCTCACAATCACAAGGTCCCAAGTTTGATCCCCGGTATCAAAAAAAAAAAAAGAGGTTAGTAAGAGAAGATATCTATCCTATCATTTCCATTCATCTTGCTTTGGAAATAGTCCTGTGAGAACATTATACCTCGTGCTGAACCAGGTATTTTGTGATCCCAAGGCAAAAAGCCTGAAGGAAATTTTTTAAAATAATTAGGAGGAAATAGAAAACATGAAACCACTTGCTTCACTGAGGTCATAGTTGACCTACTGATTAAGCCTCTGGACTTCTTTTTATCAGTAATGAATATTCTACAGTTAAGTCACTGTTAATTGTGATTTTTCTAACACCTACAACAGTACAGGAACATAGAACACCAAAGGATTTTCTGATTCACCTAGTTTAAATCTTATTATTTTTATGGTTCAAACATTTAACTCAATTCCTCATCTATATTAACTGGTGAGTAAAAGTTTTATTGAATTGTGTATTTTGGATAACTGGGCAAAAACTCCCAGCTAAAGTCAGCTAACTTGAAATGACTGAAGTTCAGTCTTCTGTGATTGGATGGAAATGTGTAATATGATCAAATTAACAGCAGGAAAGAACAGTGATGTTTAGCTCTTGAAATGTTTTGGTGACACCTTTAATAAGCCCTGCTAATAAACAGATATTCTCTGTTTATTTTTGTATCATTTAAGGTTAATCTATTCATTGTGACAGCTGTAGTTTCTATTTTTAGTACTTACACAGCATGTGCTAGAATGTGTCTTTGGTCATTACTCAGGACCCAGACAGGATCAGCAGTACTATCTCAAATGTCCCTCTACCTTCATTAGTGTTGGCTTCTTTTCTGGCTTGCTAGTTAAAAGAAATAGTAACCGGGGCCGGGGATTTAGCTCAGTGGTTTTGCTGCCTGCTGCGCAAGCGCAAGGACCCGAGTTAGAGCCCCAGTACCAAAAAAAAACCCAAAAAAACCAGCAATAGTGACCATCAGCAAGTCATGATATCTCACCTTTTGAAATGAGAGTTTGAACTGGGACCGGTTTAAAGTACTATGATTTTAGCCTGCTGAACCATGAATCCTTTTGTCTGCTGCATCCAGACTATTATTGGAATGTATCCCTGTGACAGTTAAAGGCTTTTTTTAGATGATCAAATACTTTTCTGCAGTGGTTTTTTCCTTACCTCCTGCAGTGTAATTACCAAAAGTTGTAAATATAAGGCAGAAAATAGGCAAAAATTGGCGATGTCATTTGAGGAATTGATACAACAGTAGCCTTCATGAATACATATTGCAATGGAGGCTAGAGCAGATGTTATGGAATAGGAAGGCTCACAGTCCAAATTAAGATATCCAGATTACATTGAAACAAACAGTGAGAAACAGATGGGAAAGAAATGAGATAGACTAACCTGCAAAAGATAGGGTACAAATCAGTAAAGGATCACACAGCCTGAATATTGGATACCAAAATGTTTCTGTGAACTGTCTGTATTAGTTCATCTGTCTGCTGCTGTCCCTTCTAACATGGCCACTTCAGTCCTTCTCACTGATGGTGTGGTTACAAGGCCCAGACTTGACTTCCGAAAGCAGGGTGCCTGCCAATGTAAAATTTCAAGAGGCCGCCTGTTTTGGAGAGATGCAAGAGCATTGGTACCTGGCCCTGATCACAACTCGCCATATAGCTCAGTCAGGAGCTCTGGAGTTTATATCTGTGCTTCTTCTGCAGAAAACATATGGTGCCGCATTACGCGTCACCCTGGCTGGCTGATTTCCAACCCAGTAAGTAGAGCGTCATTTCCCTCAGGTACAGTTACTGAACCATGAATATTGGGAGCCTTCTCAGACCTTCCATTCTCTCCAGTGTATAAGTAATTTTCTCATTTATTCTATCATTCTTATCTCCTCACCACAGC